AAACGGGCCCCATCTCTACCACTGAGTTAGACTCAGATCACAGTGCACACAAATGATTTCAAGGGTGCAGGAGAGAATTCAATAAAGGAACTCAGGAGTGAAAGAAAATGGTGTCCCCACTTTCAGACATAAGCCTGCTTGTTGTCAAGTATCTTCCCAGGCCCCTGGATGGGATGCTGATGCTCCTCCCCTGTGACAGGGAGGGAAGAGCCCAGGTACACAGCTCATGAGGTAGAAACGTGTTCTTGAGAAAAGTGAGAAGTAAAAGCATTTCCAAGAGCAGTTCCTACTGTTTACCATGATATAAAAGTGTCGGGGGTGGAGTGGGGGTGATACTTTGGGACACTACTCTGCGCTGGACATTTTGGGTCCTCTAGCATCCTTCTTCAGTGTGCCAGTCAATTTCTGTTGGATGCCTGTATCGTCTGGTTTGACGATGTCATACCTTCTTGCTGTTAAATGTTCTTTTCTTAAAAGCTTTACCTACGGAGAAAGCGTGCTGTGCCCAGGACTCTCTTACTGGGAACGGCAGCTGGCTATCTTAAAGGGGTTTCCCCAGACGATTTCTCCTGCATATTTGGAGCCTCCCATTTGATGATTTGTGCATTTGTGTAACCCCCTTCTCTCTTTTTACTTTCGCTTGCTAAACATATAATGGACTCACTTTTTCAAATCTAAAGTACGGCCATAATATATCATTCCGTGAGCCATAAGGGACAATGAGGAACGGAGAAGAGAAAGCATGGTTATAGGGATTTAGTGGGGATCTCCCCACTTCCCCTAAACCGCTGACCTCATTTATACTGTAGCCCAGCTGCCTAGGCTGGGGCCTGTGCATAGCATACAGTAGCCTAGGCCGCTGTAAGTCCATGTACAACAGCATGGATACGGAGCATCTGCCTTCCAAATACCCAAAGATGCCAAGACCCAGGTCATCGCTACCCTGAGAATGCAGATAATCTTCAAAATATTTGACTTTGCGGCTTTCCAGGAACTTGACACGTGACACAGGCAAGTGATTCACGAATGAGGAAGAATAAAGCTTGGACTTGAGTTCACTTAATGTCCATGGCCATGCAGGGCCACAGTGGTCCTCAAGGGCAGTGACCAACATCCCCGCCACTGGCCTCAAGTTACCGTTTCCATCTTCATTACCATGCAGTACGAGATGCCAGCGGCAGAGGCCAGACAGTTGTCCCAGCCCACCTTTCTGCCGGCCCTGAATGCTTCCTCACTGTTCCTCTGTTCCTAGGGAGAAGAGGCAGCCAACAAGAGGATTTCCAAAAAGATCGCTCTTTAACATACCAGCCGTTCCTTGCAGTCTATTCTACACACGCCACTGTAAGAAGCTAAAAACATTTCCACAGTTTGATACTACTGGGATGTATGGAATGGTACTACACCATCTCAAATGTTTTCCTAATATTTATAGAAATTACAGGACTGATAATTCCTTTGACACTTTTTCTTTCCTGAACTATTATGTATCTCCCATGTCCCAAATCTAAATTAAAAAAAAAAAGTCTGTTGCACTCTGGTAATGAAACCACCTGTGTTAGGTGCATTGAGGGATGGTCTGACATTGCCGATCATCCTGGAGGGCATTTCAAGGGCACGTTAATAGAACATGACTTTAGAATTTAACATAAGTATAACACGGGGGAAGAGTCCTGCAACTCTTCTCAGGTGCACAGCACCGGTGTCTTCACACACCCGCAAATATCTGTCCCCTCGGCCCCATGGCTGAGGCTGATTTAGATCTTAGTCTATAACAAGAAAACAGATGCTAAACTCACTTCATCACTATCTGCTTGAGAACCATGATGCCTCCAAAATGCTGCCTTGGCATCCAGCAAGCTGGGCCACCTTACCTTACCTTGCAAGAAACACATAGGCCTCTTCGGAAGGAAGTTAACACACAGAAACAGAGTTAGAGGTAGCCTGTATAAATCAGCCTGGAAGAAACGATGCCAGTGTATCTTCAAGAGGACATTGAGAAGAAAATGTTTGCTCCTTGCAAGGGCTTGCTTATTACAGTGTTTCTCAAGGAATTCAGCCTGGTTGGTACCGGGAGCACACTGAAGGCTACTGAAGCACGCAAACTCGCTGCGTTGTGGGAACACAAATATAATCCTGACCTCACAAGTTCTGACTGTCTCTTTCTTTGCACCTTTCTTTTCCTTGTCTTTCTTTTCCTGTCCTTCCACTCTTTTTCTTTTCTATGTTCTAAAATGTAGGAAAGTTGAAAGCACAGATCCCAAATACAGCGGAGGAAAGCAAAAAAAAAAAAAAAAAGCCCTAATAGGTTCAATGTCAAGTGTTCTGAAATCCTCAGTGTAATGAAGAGCCCTGTTTAAAGATACAAAGCATCTTTTCCATTAGTGTCTAAATAAACAAAAACAAGTGAAAGCCAGTGGCTAGCCCTCCCTTGGGTGTTACTCCAGCTGTGGAAATGTCCAACTCGTTGTCATCGCTAATTAATTAGAGAAGATGACCCCTTCCTTCAGCATTGGCTGAAAATATGACAAAGAAGTCAAGAGCTTTTCTTCTGCCTGATCACAGGATGTAAAGAAAGAGCTCTGATAGGAATTAGGACCTCACTTCTGATGGCAGAAATCACATCTTTCAGCCAAATAGACTCAATACAGGAGGAATTGGATTCAGCAGTGCTCTGCTTAGACAGTGTCTGCCAAAGGAGGCCACTCCTCATTGGCGGATGCCCACCCTACTGACAGAAGATGCCGTGGCGCTTCATCCTTCTCTCTGCCTTCCCACAGCACAGACAGATGGCTAAATACCAGTCTCGAACCACTCTCTTCCATAATCCCAGGGAAAAGTACATAACTGTGTTTCGTTTTTAATTTGCAAATTGAAACTGATATGAAAATACATGACACTGTTGAGAAACAAATACTTCCACTTCTTAAAAAATGATATTCAATCCACCAACACCCCAAATCGGCAGTGATGCTATTAGTCATTTTGGGCCATTACCTTCTTCCAGTAAGAAGCAAACAAAAGTTTTACACCCTCTGTTGAGGAGTTTTAAGTTGAGGAGTTTTAACAAATACTGAATTGCGATTTATAATATCTGGGGTCAAAACGTGCCTTGCTTATACATGTACTTTTGTCTTCTCTGATTACCCAGTGGTGAAATAACACCCTCAAAGGATTCTGACATGACCTCTTTCTCTGAGTAGGCCTCTATAAATTAAGTGCAGAATGATAAAGACACCAGAAATCAACCTTACGTATCATGTTCACATGGGTGAACATAAGTACATACACATATATAATCTATGTGTGCATACATACCATCCCTTAAAAAAGCTAGGTTTTGTGTTTGTTTTTAAATAAGGTCTAAACTACACAGCAAAGCAAACATCATAGTAGATTCCTCATAGATGGAGGCAGGGTCAACTCCTGGTCTCTCTCGCTAATTGTGAAGCTTGCAATCTCTGTTGCTCTGGTCAGTCTGACTCCGTGGTCTCTGCTTCTCTGATGCTGGATTGCAGGAGGGCCACCACGCATATCTAGCTTTTAAATGGGTCATCACACTTAATGGTCCTCACAATTTACCCACAAATTCATCTCCCAGCCGAGAAGAGCTTCCTCTGTGTTAGGTTTCAGTCATATTCCAAAAGCCACTCGACTTTTATTACAGGAGCCTCAGGAAAACGATCCAGGTTAGCCTACCTTGATAAAAGGGTCATAGATGAGGCTTGCAGATTCCTCCCGTACATCACAGGCCCCACTTGGAAACACCGTGTACTTTTCCAGACTCTGATGTTGGCAACTTTCACATAAGAGCAATGAGCTAGTGCTCGTACATATCAGATAGGGCGTTTTTAAAATTTTCTTTTTTGCTCCAAAGTTGAGTATGAGAAAGATCTGCTATGACATTGACAATCTGATCAAAATTTGGAAATCATTGAAAAAATACAGTCTGTCTCCTCAATTCATCACCTCAAATACCCATTCAGCTTCAAGACATACAAAGGCCCTGGAACACTAGCATCCTCACACCTCTTACTGAATAGGAAGGAAGACTTGGTCCTAAGCCAGGGACTGAAAGTTGGCTCAGTTTCTTCGTTTCACCCCCTTAATAGTAATTCTGATAGGAGCACAGTGTTGTCCCGGGACTAGGGGGAACATCCAAGTTACGATGAGTAGGGAGTATAGTATATACTCTGCTGCTCTATAGCTTCTGTAGTTATTAGCAGTAACTGGGTAGACTGTATTTAAACAAAATCTATATACGGTGCTGGTTATTAACAACAGAAGGGAGCTGCTATTCACAACGTATTTGCAAACATTCCTAATGGAGTTAAAGACTGAAGGGTGAGACTCTTGCCAGAGAATATGTGATCTAAACAAACAAGGGCCAATGACAGGCCCTATGATCTACGCTTATTTCCCAAGGAAAGTAGCCTGCCTGTCTTAGATACACTTGACCTGCTTGGCTATTTCTTTGACCCTTGTGGCCACTGTGGTACCAATGCTGCTTGACTTCTTACCACCTTAGTATGGGCTTTGCCTGTCAGTAGCTCATATGGTTGCCCTGGACACCTCTCACCTATAGTCCTGGGAATTCCTTATACCTGACAAAGCATGAGATATTGCAATAATATCCAGGTGTCATGCAAGCACAACATGTCTGAAGATGCTTCTGTTTAGCATCCAGAAAGGGATGCTGTAATGGACAGAATATTATAGCTGGAAGATGAATTATTTTTTTGTTACTTCCTCCAGATCAGATTTTTCTGAGATATGTGTTCATTACTGAGCAATTGGTTGCACTGGATGCTAAACAGTGACTATATTGGTACTGAGCAAACAGGACCACACTCAGCTTTCCTGCTTCACTGGTTTCCTCCGGGGTGCCATCTGCTAATAGAAAAAGGCACACGTGCATGTCTGCCTTCAGTGCTGCTCTCTAGGGAAGGCAGATTAAGCAGATATTTCCTTTTTTCCCACTGCTATGTCAGTCAACTTCTTACCTTTGGCTGCAGTGGTGGTGCACACTGGGCTGGCACAGGGTCTGTGATATAGGTCTTCTTGGGACCACTGACGGGATACATCCCGGGAGGGTTCTGATTCCCGGCTCCAGAAGCAGCATACCCAGGTTCCCGCTTCCAGGTATTAGGCTGAACTTGTTGTTGTCCATAAGAAGGATTCACATCATTTCTGCCCCCATAACCAGGCCCTGCTGCATAATACGGTTCATAATAGCGTCCTTGGTTGGGGGTATAGCCATATCCCGGCTCAGGCTGATGCCCTGGGGGTGGAATATACGCACAGTCGGCACCAGCACGAGTTGAAGGAGGAGGACACTGTCCTGACGGAGGAACTGGCTGAGTGTTATAGCCTTGAGGCCCTGGGCCATATATTTGTCCAGCAGATGGGCCAGCCATGTAATGTGGGCTGGGCTGGGCCGACTTCACTTGCACATTGAAGGTGGGCCTCGAAGGTGTGGATGCTGTAGTGTAAGAGGCTGGAACTGGCTGAGGCTGTGGTTTGAGAGTGCCGATGGGTGTCACTGGGATGGGTGCAGCCTGGGGCGAAGGCTGTGGTTTCATCGCCGACTTCTTGGTTGCCGTCAGAGGGGGCTGGTTTGGAATGACCATTCTCTTATGTCCCGTGACGGGAGTAGACACCGGAGGAGAGGATGTTAGACTAGCAGAGCCCTGAAATGAAAGAGAAGCTTGATAAAAAATGATCAGCAATAATGGAAAACAATACGCAACAGGGAGAATGGCGAATTAGGTGAAAAATGTATAAATAAGACATGGCCTTTCCTTAAGGAGCTCACCAACCGAACATTAGTCATTGTGTGCAGCACCAAGGAGATAAAACACCAGGAATACACTTAACCAAGGCACGGACTATTTACTGACTGAAAATGGAAGCAGTGATGAAAATAAGTACGTAAATAAAATTGTAAAAATTCAGGTCTAGAGTGATACTTATCAAACCATACAAATAGAGCAGTTATTTATTTCACACTCAGATGGGAACAGAAGAGACCACACATAGCCAAACCAGTTGTGGAAAGGAGGAGCAAAGCAGGAGTCATCCCACTGCTGATTGCAAAATATTTTGCCAATCTTTATAAAAAGAATGTTGCAACAACATAAAGAGAGACCTAGGATGGAAGGAACAGAAAAGGCAGGCTGGAAACAAACAAAAGCATATAAAGTTCACTTATTTTCTACATGAGTGCCAAGAAGAAACAGTGGAGAAGGTACAGTGTCTTTTACAGATTGTGTGCAAACACTGGGCTGCATCAACCAGAAAGCAAATCAGAGACTGGTCTTACACCACCAACTCAAGGTGCTGCTAAAGATGGAAACACTCGAGGAGAGAACACAGAAATAACGTTTAAGAGAATGGTCTCGACAATGATGTAATGGATACGGCACCGGAAGCACAGGCAACAGAAACACAGTGAACCAGGGAAACGATATCATATTGAAAATCTCTACACAGCAAAAACATCAGAGTGAAATGCAAGCCATGAATGGAAGCAGATGATTACGTATCCCGGTAAGGGGCCAACCACCAAAGTCGCTACGAAAGCCTTACGGCACAGTACACAGAGACAAAGAGGGGCTCAAGAGAGGACTCGGTCCCTAGGATCCACATGCCTGCTCACAACCACCCATAACTCCAGCTCCAGGGGATTTGATATTGTTTTCTGGCATTCATGGGACACCAGAAATGCATGGTATACATGTATGTATACACGCAAAAACGTCCATAAAATAAACATAAAAATTAAAAAAAGGAAAATTTAAAAGATAAGCCTTAGGATTTAGAAATAACAACAAAAATGCTTCCCTAAATGGCATACAAAAGACAAAACATTAAACACTATTCAAAATTACTAATATAGAAATGCAAACCAAATTCAAATGAGGAGTCACATCTTTGTCAGAATCTTTGTAACCAGGCAACACCAACAGGCAAACTAGTGCTGGCAAGAATGGTAGGGTCTCTGCATGCTGCCATTGGGGAGGCAAAGTGACAGGGCAGACAGGAAACACAGTAGGGAAGTCTTGAAAATATTAACATGGAACAACATACGACATGGCAATTTCCCTTACTGGTACATATCCAGTATTATTGGAATGTGGATCTTCAAGGGAAAGTGTCATTTTTATGTTCATTATAGCACGATTTACAATAACATCAACAAAAAACTTAAGATGTTTATCAGTAGATAAATATTGCGTGATTTTTACCACATGAAATGTTGAAAATAGCTAAGATTCACCAAAGCCAAGAATAGGGATGAGAGTGGAGAAGGGCTGGTGTCTTAGTTAGGGTGTCTATTGCTGTGATGAAACACCACGAACAAAAGCAAGTTGGGGAGGAGAAGGTTTATTTTGCTTCTGTTTACACACCACTGTTTATCAGGATAGGAACTCAAGCAACCCAGGAACCTAGAGGCAGGAACTGATGCAGAGGCCATGAAGGAGTGCTGCTTACTGGCTTGCTCAGCTGGTTTCTTGTAGCATCAAAGACCACAAGCCCAGGGAAGGCACCTCCAAAACAATGGGATGTCCCCTCCTCCATGAATCACCAGTTAAGAAAATGCCCTACAGGTTTGCCTACCACACAATCTTACGGAGGCATTTTTCCCAGTTCAGACTCCCTCCTCTCCTATGACTCCAGCATGCGTCAAGCTGATGTAAAACTAGCCATGATAATGGGGGGGGGGGGCGGGTATTAAACAGGGCGTTCCCAATCAATTGATCTGTTCTCAGTCAAGCAAGATAAGCTGTGAAGGTTCCCTGTTCAATAGTGCACTTACTATCATCAATACTAAATTGTGCACAATGAGAGTTTTCTTGGAAGAGACAGGAAAACAAGAAGCTATCCTGACAAGACTAAAAGGGAAGGCAAGGCCTGGCTCCTAAGAAGGGACAGGTCAGAGCCAAACCCGTGTCTTCCTGTCTCATGTGCGCAGCAATTCTCTCTGTGTCCCGGCGAAGAGTGCTACCTCAGTCCCGCACTAGCAGAACAGGGCTTCATTAATACACACTGAAGATGCTTGGAAAACAAATGGTGGAAAAATCAGCACATAAAAAGATTCAAGTCTCAGAAAATCACACATACATGCATGTATAGATGAGTGTGATATTTAAATGTGCTCAATTTTCCAAATCGAAGTGTTAAATTATGAGAAAAATTCAAGAATTCGTACAAAATCAAAAATAAGATAAAATGTCAAAATATATTCTTGGAACCACCAAATAATCCAATAAACAGAAAATATTCGGCAACATGACTCTTCAATTAACTGATTATGTGGACCAGATAAGCATTGGCACAGTTTTCTTTAACCATGAAGAACACAAATACATACACTTTAAAATAATTATTCCTGCTCTTTTTCCTTTCACATCCAATAAGATAAAATATGTAAAACTTGGGAAGAAAACTGTATACACCAAAATATACTAGTTTTAAAGACACTTATGATAAAAATATCCAAACACGTGCCAGCATACACGCAATAAAACACACAGTGGAGACATGGGGACATGGGGGAGGTTTGCCTAGGGAAGGCTTTTCTTTTTGGTACTTAGCAGAATAATGGGTTTATTATGGCATTTTCATACAGACTCCTTTTTGGGGGGTTCCCCTTCCCCCTGTCCCTGTCTCCTTTCCACTTTGCTATCAAACACGTCCTATTAGTACCCTCTTATCCCCTTTCCTTCAACCCTCCTCTCTTCTCTTTCAGTCCCTTTCTAACTCAAGGAGCTACACCAGCATTCACACCCGCACACATGCAAGCACATGTAAGAATTGAAAAGGAGGTCTTGCATACAGGAGAGATCACGTGGAATTTTAGACAAGCACACAATGGCTCTGAAGATGGGGCTCTGAAACCATCACTCAAAGAATGTGGAAGAGAGAGAGAAAGAGAGAGAGAGAGAGAGAGAGAGAGAGAGAGAGAGAGAAACTGCTTATCGAGAAGAAAACTCATGAATTGTTTCTAAGAAGTGAGGGCTACATTATTGCACTGTTTAAATGCAATTGATTGGCATTAGTTTCCAAAAGATTTGGAACTTTAAGCATCTGTTCCAGGGCTGAGTTTACAGCTGTAATAGAGAATGTGACTTCTGTTAGGCCAGTTCCTCAGTCACTGTATGCATTTATTGTCGAGTCTGTAAGATGTACAAAGTATGAACTATCCAGGCAGTGGTAGCACACACCTTTAATCCCAGCACTTGTGAGGCAGAGGCAGGCAGATCTCTGTGAGTTCGAGGCCAGCCTGGTCTACAAGAGCTAGTTCCAGGACAGGCTCCAGAACAACACAGAGAAACCCTGTCTCGAAAAACAACAATAACAAAAAAAAGTATGAACTCTATGTTGTTGTTGCTGATGAATCATCAAAGAAATCAAAGCTAATCCCTTCTGCAATCAGTTTCACCTCTGTGACATGTTAATGATTGACATTATCGACTGGGGGGAAAAGTCTAACTTTATGGTTTTTCTAGGTTCAGTTTACTTTTCCATGTCGTGTGTTACACAATGTCAAGGTCTTAACTGGGTCCTTCTTCATTAATGTCTTCAGCTCATATATTCTAATAATATACTGCTTAGTTAAACATACCCCCCCCCCCCCACATCCCTATTCCAATTGGACACTATGAAGATCAGTTTCACCTGAACGGAAAGGAACCCTTCACCTATCTAGCAAACATCGAAAATGCTTGGGTTATGACAGTAAATGACAAGTTGTAAAATTAAACAAATTCTGTATTCAACAGAATCCTGTAGGGAACCAAATCAGGAATTTAAAATTAGACCTTGTATCTTAGAATTACAAGTTCCCCAGGAAACCATACTTGAGAAAAAATATGCTGGAAAGATAGCCTTAGGAGTCAGGATCCTCCAAAACAGGACCAAAGAAAAATGACAAGAACATGCTCTAACCAGGCATTCGTGAAGAACTGATACATACAGGCATCGTGTACATTGTGAGCAGGCAGGGTCAGAAGAGCGGCCTGCAATCTAGACTGAGGTGACCATCATCTCCTCGAGGCTGGAGAGGACTAGTTGTGAGGGGTGAGGAGTGTAGCCATTTAATCACTCAGACAGACAGGTGGAAAATTCACAGTCAATAAGCCCCTGGCATCTCTCAAGCAGCATTGCTATCACCCTGGGGTTACAACTGATGTGTTGGCTTCTAGTTCATGCAATGTTGATAGTAGCTCATAATAATCATGTAATCAAAGGTCTATATTAATTTCCAACCTCACCCAGGTCAGTAAGTATCTCCATTCCAGCTGAGAACCGCTGGAAATGAGACGTAATCTACTGCCCCATGGAAATGTTTTCATCTTTATCTCTTGTTTAACCTAAGTGTACAGAAAGGTACATACGTATGATGAGGTGTAGGGATAAGTCCCGCCCCTTGGGGGGCATGTTCGCCTCGGGCTAAAGTCTGCCTATAAATTTGGCAAGCTTGCTCCCAGCCGTCCCTTCTGCTTTCCTGGTCTCCGCGGGAACGGTGGTTCTGTAAGTCTATTTCTACATTAAAGCTATATATATATATATATATATATATATATATATATATATATATATATTTACAATCTGTCTGCATTTGTTTACGCCGCTACATTTTGGCGTCCAATGTGGGGCTCGAACCCATGACCCTGAGATTAAGAGT